AACCGACTGATCTCCTTCTCCATGGATTTGATCAACCAGGCCATTATTGTACTATTCTCAGCATCCCACTTCTCATTTGCTGGATTATCTTCCTTCGGAGCTTTGACTACTCCAGTCAGGTAACCCAATTTTCCTCTACCTCGAACCATCAACTTCATAGCTTGAGACCATGGGATATAATTGTTTCTGTTCAATTTGTGAACACTAATTTGAATGGAATTGTTATCATTTAAATGAGGCTAGACTCTTGTTTGTCCAGATCTTAGATCTGAAGAAGAAATATGTCGATCATGTGGTGGACTTCGGCTCCTACCCTGCCCGCCACCAGTCATGGCTATTTTAACCATCAATTACTATGGCTTGCCAGCCACCAGTCATGGCTACTTTAACCATCAATTACTATGGCCAGAGAGCCTGGTTCTACTGCCATGAAAATAGAGAAAAAACTTGTTCACTCTTATTCATCTAAAGAAATACATATCATACATCTCTAGTTATAGACTAACTCTAGATATCTTGATAACCCTAAGCTAGGATTATCCTAACTTTTAAATTTTAAAACTAGATAATGCCTAGATAACTCCTAAGTTTTCACATTCTAATCTTAGGAATTCAACAAATATATATATCCTCCTTGATGCAGCTTAAAAGGAAATTACCCAATGTTAACTGCGGTCTTGCAGCTCGTATCCTTGAAAATGAAGAAGTTGAAGATGAAAGTAAAGATGTTGACGACAACGAAACTAAGAAGAAATCCAAGAAGAAGAAAGGCCTTGGCAGTGATGATTTCAAAGATGAACGATTTGTAGCAATGTTTGAAATTAAGGTATAATAATATGATTATCTGATTCTACTTTCTGTTGTCAAGTTTAATATTATAATTTTCTTAATTTTCATATTATTTGTTGCAATGGTTTTATTTATGATGAGTTCTAACCTCATCGTTACATTTCACTGAGCTTTCATCTCTTGTGAAATAGCAAAGCTTTCTCCATTAGCTTGTTGCAAGAATTCTTGTTTGTTTCAAGACACCCAAGATAATGTATTGCATTTGTAAGACATTTTTTGCAAACCATCTTACAAATGCAATACACAAGACGTAACTTTGGAAGTGGAAATTTGTGTAATCTTTTTTTTTTTTTTTCCCAAAGGGGCTACAATTGTTTAAATTTTGGATGAGGGTTATACTAATTATTTGTTGGGAGGAGCTAGAGGTGTAATTCCCACCTTTAGTACTTGATATTAGCATACTAACTCGAACGTATTTCCCTGTCAAAAGAAGAAACTTTTGAAATTTCATTTGAGCTTTGAATTGTTGTAGCATCTAGAATTCTAGGTTTATATATTAACTAGGGAAACCAGTTCTTTGTGAATTCATGGAAACTGGTGCCTACCATAGGATGTTATAAGTTGAATACTCAGTATCTCACCCATTGAACAGAAAAGCTGGGAAAATTGAGGTTTTAGCAATCTGAAATCTTTTGGTGGGATGATACTTTGTTTCTTATTTAATAATTCCATTTTCTATGAGGTCATGTAAATTTTGTTGTACTCCTACCTTTCTGTTTCTCCAGTTGCCTTTGAATTCACATTCTTTTTATTTTTGTGCCCAGGACTATGAAATTGCTGAGTTATCATATGAGTATCTTGCTCTACATCCTCTGGCTTCTCAGAAGCAACCATCTCTGGTGAAGGAACATTTCAAACCTGTAATGGAGGATGAAGATCAAAGCGCGAGTGATTCTGATGTCTCAGCAGCATCTCAGTGATCAGACGATGAGCTTGGCAAGGATAAGATGAAAAAGAAATCACGAGCTCCTAGGTAATCTGTTCATAGCTTATTGTATACAGAGTTATGCCTCTTCTCTGGGTTGGTTAATGTCGCTCAATTTATCTTTTGTTAATAATAGCTATGCGAGGAGAGGGAGAGTCGAGGCTTTTGTTTCAGTTACCTTACTAATCATCTTTCTTGTGTTAAAATCTGTAGATTGTATGAAGTTAAGGATGAGTGGCTTGCAAAAGCATTTTGGAACCGTGTATCACTTGCAAAAGAGGACGCTCTTCCTATGGGAGAGAGGTTGAAGGCTCTCCAAAATGATCGGCAGGCTTCTGGTCTCCCAAGTGATGTGAAGTTGGGACCAGGAGGTTGGCGAGAGATTTCTTTCATTACTAGAAACTCGGCCAAGTACGAGGAAGATAAGGAGGACAAAGAGGCACATCATGTAAAGAGGAGAGGAATACAATCATTAGGGCTGAAAACCAGATAGGCCAGGGTTACGAGGCCGAGGGGGTTGAGGAGGCAATCGTGGGAATGGTAGGAGAGGAAGACGATGATCATAAATTTCAAATGTGAAAGAATATTCATTTTTCTTTCGTCATGAATGTATCGTAGTTCCCCCATTGGTGAATGAGGAAGCAACACACATTCATGAAGCAGGTTGGTTGAATCAATAGGCAGATACGGAGTCCATATTAGATTCTGGTATTGTCTGTTGGTTTCTTCCCATTCTTATACATTTAGGGTTTATCAGGGAAGATTTTTTTGTCCACATTTTTTCAGATGAATAATATTTGTTGAAACATATTCAATTTTGTGTGCAATATTACAAATTATTGGTCAAGTCATAATGGGTTTGTGGTTTTGTCGTTTAGTATATGAAGATTAGCTCAGTGTGTGTATATATATATATATAGAGCTTTGATAATAAAATAGTGAAGTTTACAACAGTAATAAAAAAAAAATCAGACCAATTAACTTCAAATTCCTAAACTTACTGTTAATAAACCAAATCCTCACGAAATTAGGATTACCATAATTCTTATACTAATAGAATGATGAAATATGAAGGATTCCAATAATTCTTATACTAGTAAAATGACGAAATATTGCTATGACGGGCGTACTCCAGGTTTATAAGCACTAAGGTTTAATATTTGTATAAATCTTAGATAAATACTATGATGGATACTAATTAAATATATCCTATTTAATTTGATTGAAACTCAACTATAAGCAATATCCAACAACTAAAATTTAGAGCTGGATGCTATTACTTTATAAAATTACTTGTTCAATAAATAAATGAATAAAGTATGCTATATTAAATCATGATTGTCAAATCAGGTATTGTATCGTGTGAAAACTTAATTTTTCGAATCATGTATCGTGTATTATATTATATCGTATGATATACTTTTTAAAAAATAATAATAATAATTTTAAAAAAAATAATGTCAATCCCAAGATTAATTAACGAATTTTGTGATATTATTGGCTTTAAATTATGGTATTACATAATTAAAATTAATCACAAAATTAAGAATCTATATCATTCACTTTCAATCATTCATATCATTTACAAGATTAATGTCAATATTTATATCTCCACTTATGTTATTATTATCATGCAAAATGGGTAACACATCTTCCTTTTTACTTTCTCTATATAAAATGGGTAAATTTGGATAGGTTTTAGTGAACCGGGTTAAGTGACCCAGACCGAACTGAAAAACTTTTTGGGCCTTTGGCCCAAATTAATAAATTCGTATCGATTTGTATCGATATTTTTTAGGTTATGAATCGATACGTATTATATCGTAGGATACATATCAACGTATTAAAAGATTTATGATACACTCTCTAATACATATCGTTGGCGACTCGTATCGTAGGATACTAATAACCATGTATTAAATAGGAGATGTAATTTGTATAATTTTTTTATACATTATTGGAAAGAATAAAACAATTGAAAATAGTAGTTTTTTAAACGGAAGAAATATATATATCAATAAGAATAAGAAAAATCTTATTAATATTCTACATATTGGATTTTAAACTGAAATTATTATTAATAAGAATAAGAAAAATTACGGTCCGTTTGGTTTATTATTTATACCCTATTCCCAAAATAACAGTTTGTTTAATTATTTAGGAAGTACTATTATATATTTTTTTAATTACTTTTAGACCCCTTAAGTTTATTAATTTCATAAACACCCATAGAAAAAAAAAAGTTTAAAATTAACAAAAATACCCCACTCACCCATAGTTTTCAGATTCCGGCAACCACCGTTCGTGGTAGCCGGAATCTGTCACAACGGCCTACAAACGACTGGAATTGGTCAGTAATTTGCCGATCTGGCCTTTTGCGGCCATTGACAACTAGATATGGCTGTCAATCTGACCTTTTTCGGCCAGATCCACCACAGATATGGCCAGAAAAGGCCAGATCGACGCATGTCCAGCCAAATTTGACTGATCTGCGTCGTAACGCTAGATCCGACCGATCTGCGTCGTAACGCAACGGTGATGGTCGGAATCTAGCATTACGACGCAGATCAGTCGGATCTAGCGTTACGACGCAGGTCGGAATCTGGCACTGTAGGTGGGTGGGAGTGTTTTTATCATTTTACAAAATTTTTATATATTGGGGTGTTTAGTTAAATTAGCAAACCTAGGGGTTTTTTGGTTAAATTTTAAATTTTACTTCGTAATAATCACCCTATTCAACTATCCAATATTATTTCTAAAATCCTATTCAAAATAATAAACCAATTGGACCCTACAATATCTTTTTCTTTTTTGTGTTATTGATTCAATATAAAATTTTGTTTATTTAATATATAATTTTAGTAGGATCGGTCTTTTGAAGGCAAAGAAAAGAAATAATTAAAAGCATATCTTAGGAGTTAAGAATGAGTCAGAAGATTTCCTAAAACAGTTATTGAAATACAATGATAAACGGTTGTTTTAGTTCTTCATTACTTTTAACTCTAAAATAGTTTTTAAATATTAAATAAACATATTTTTGAAACTGAAAATATTGAATCTAATTTTTAAATCTCAACGCAAACTAAGACATAAAATTGAAATTTAACAAATAGCACCTTTTAAATTTTAATTTGAAACAACAGATTTTTCTAAAAGATGAAATAAAATCAGCTTGCAACAGTATCGCCCTCGTAGCGTCATCCTAGCCGTCCGTTTTCTCCAACTGTCTCTTAAATAGAAATAAACTCCGTCCAGCCTCTCGTCCAGTTCCCGTTCGGTTCCTCACCAAAATTTCGTCCGAAATTTGGAGGTTTTTTTTTTTTTTTTTTAAAATAGAATCCGGCTCTTATATTTTTTGAAATTCGAATTCAATTCTATCTGTATTTTGTTTGTTGAATAATTAAATTGATTTTTTTTTTCTCATTTTATTTTTTCTTGCATTGGATTGTGTTTTTTGTCTCATTTTTTTGGTTAATTTTCTTGAAATTCGCATTGAATTCTATGTGCAGCTTCGCTTGTAAAACTATTAATTGAATTTTTTTCTCAATTTATTGTTTATGCGTTGAATTGTGTTTGTTTGCCACGCGTTTCTTTGTTATTATGCTGATTTGAAGGCCATACGAAGTGTGGGAGATACATAGAATTGGAGTATTTTAGACAGTGGATGTCTTGCATTTGACATATAGAGGCTTGACGTATATCAAAGATTTTAGAGAGAATTTTGTAACGTGTCTCGTGTTTTAAGAGTGATTTGATGCTGATATTTGTTAATATCTTGCATTTTAGAGAGGGTCTATTGATAAAGTGTGCACTAGTAGAAAGAGAGGAATTCAAATTGTTTTTGTTTCTGTGAGCGATGAATGAGGACTCTGTTAAAGGGTGATTTTAATGGTTTTGTTAGATTTTTTGTATGTCAATTGATGCTCAGAGTTGGTGTGCCGGATGAACTTGTAAAGCCATTCACATTGTGGTATTTACTAAAGTTTTGAAGTGTTGTATAACTTGGTTGTTGAAGATGGATTGGCTTGGTTGCAAAAGTGGAGACAATCGTTGAAATCGATGGAAGAGTTAAAAAGATGTAGTTGGAAGAGTTATAGTAGCTTGAGGATATAACTTTAGGTGTTGGGCTTTAGTGGTTTTTCAGATTGTTTGGAGCATACTAATCTTTTATGTACGTACCTAGGTAGTGATGGTTAACCATAAAACTCCTGGTGCATAAGGATGTTTGGTAACTTTTCTTTTTGCTATTTTCTTTTTCAATCTTAATCAACTACGCTTCTATTCTAGCTTAATTTAAATGATGACTTTCACTGTCACTTATTTGCTAAGGTTTGTAAGAAATTTAACCTAACAAGTTAACCTAACTGGCTTACTTGGAAATCTTGTTAGACAACTCAACTTTTTTAAATGGATGAATGAAAGACACATATTTGGTTCAAATCACTGATAGAAGAAGTAAAGAAACCTATATTTCATTTAATTCAAAAAAAGAGAACAAAATGACTTTATAACTCTATATATAATTGGGAAAATTGTCTTTTGGTATTTTGTGCCTAATTCTAGATAATTTAGGAATAATTTTTATCAAGTTTATGAGAGTGATTGAGATGTTATAATTCCTAAGTTGAGGTTATGCATGTTCTAAAGATATTCAATGAGTTGTTTTTGATTGAATATCAAAAATTTGGTTTTAATAGGAATGATGTTCTATCTTTGGTGCCATGTAGTGTTGTATGTTCTTTTTTTCTCATAGTTTTGTGCTACCATAGTGTTATATTATTATTAGAATAACTTTGAAGTCAACCTTAAGGATTGGGTCTAACTGTATAACCCTTGTATTCAATACAAGCGGTTTGAGGATCAAACTCTATTGAGGTCACATCTTTTTTTTTTTTCCTCTTCTTCTTTAATATGCCCAAAATTTTTTTTCCTTCCCAACTTGTTCACAAAATCTAAATTGGGGTTACTTCTAGATCCGACAACCTTGATCCAAGAAAATTGTGGGATTTATAATATCTCTAGGGATTGAACCTTTGACCTTTTAGGTGAAACCAAGGGCTTTAGCTGCCAAGCCTAACCTTGGGGACATATTCGTGCAATTTTGTATTATGGATTCCTATCAATTAATATGTTGTCGGATCTCAATGAATTTTTGAACTAAGTGCATAGACATGTGAGGTTTCTAGTTATATAAAAAAAAGGCTATAGTGAAGGCTAAGCCTATGTAATAACCTACTTGAGCTTTGTTTCCTTAGGTTGGGAATCTGACTAAATTTAAATATGACTTATTGTTCACCTTTGATTTTTTTCAATTGGTTTTTAGGCAACAGCTAGGCTATGGCAAAGAAGAAAGGCAAGAAGTTTAAAGTCCATGGTTCACCTATAAAACATCCAAGTAAGAAGATTGTAAATAGATCTAGGAAGAGGAAGAAAACAAATTTAAAGATAAAATCAACGCCCATACCTCTTGATGGCCCTTCATCTACTTCTGTGCTTGTTCCTGATGTCATACCCGTTGTTGCTACACCGTCCTCTACTATTGCTCATGACAATCTAGCTACTAAAAGAATGAAAGAGAATGAAAGTATAGTTAGAACTCCAGGGTTTATATTCATGTGTAATGGAAAAACAAAGCCTGAATGCTATCGAAATCGTGTCTTCGGGCTACCAAGAGGACAATTGGAAATTGTGGAGAAAATAAAGCCGGGTTCAGAGCTTTTCTTATTTGACTTTGACTTAAAGCTTCTTTATGGGGTTTACAAGGCAGCGTCAAAAGGAGAGTTGGGCTTGGAACCTGCTGCATTCAATGGGAAATTTCCTGCACAGGTAAAAAATGATTCTTCATTAGCAATGTTTGATATTATAAATGGTAAAAGGGTGGAATATATGATGTGATATAATATGTGGTACACTATATTGAGTGTCCAATTAATTTTTTTGTGTTGACTTTAGAGTGAACTTGCTACTATTTTCATCTTTGTTGAGTTGAAAGATCTCTAAGATTTTGTAAATTAAGTTAGTTGCATGGTTAATATTTGCTTGGACTTCCCTTGCGTTTGCACATGAGATGAAATAATGTGATGTCTACATCTTTTCTAACTAAATTAATCGTATATTAGATTGAGCTCAAACGTTATTCATATTTGTTTAAGTTGTGCTTGTCTAACTTAGATAGCTCTTTTTTTTTTTTTGTTTTTTTTTTTTTTTTTTTTTTTTTTCCTTTTATCAAAATGATGATTAATTGTATGAAGGAATAGAATTCCTACTTTTGATATTGAAGGCAACCTAGAGAGGTAGCAATAGGAATAAGAATTAGTCCCTTTTGCTTTGCATACTAGTGCATCGCTACCATTTGCTGCCAATGCAGTTCTTTATTACTTCCTTAGCTTTTCGACTTTTGAGTTGAATGGTTTGTAGGATTAGTTGTATTAATTTTTATTAATTAATTAATAATATCTTAAATTATAACTATTTAATATCAATTGTAATTAATATTTGAATAACATGTATTTAGAAATATTTATAACAAAAAATGAAAATATATATAGTAATGTTAATATTATTATTTAAAGTATTCAATTAATTTTTTTATCTAGATTAGTTTAACATGAGGTTTATGTTTGTATAAATATTGCCTAGTACAAGATTACATTAAACACAGGTCAACTTTACATACGGTCCAATCCAATCTAACCCAATCTCAAGAAATTAAAACTATCCAATACCGTGTGCTGAACGCACCCGATATGACTAGATTTACTATGAGATCGAAAGGCTGGATGAATTGATACTAAATTTTGTCTATAATCCTCTTAGTTTATAAATGCGAAGGGGTCACTCAATTTCATAACTGTTTTTTGTTGAAAACTCCATCTTGAGTTATTAGTTTGACATAAACAATCATCATATATCCTCGATGGCTTAGTTGTGGCAGCTATTGTGATATTTCATCAAGCGCATAAGATGCTTGAAATTTTGAGCCAAATATTGTTTTCTTTTCTTCCATTATGTATTTTATGTGATAATTATGTAAGGAAAAAAAGAACATTGAAGAAATATGACTTGAAAGTGAGGAAAAGGAATTGAATAATATTAGTAGGTTAGAAATATAAGCTTTAAGACAGAAGGCAGAGAAAGATGAAGTGATGATGTGCAATACTCATTGAGATGATATCTAAGATTAATATTGATGAGTTAAAAGTAGAAAGAAGACTATGGAAGATGGAGAGTTCACGTAGTTATACTTGTAAGTTTTATATTGAATGGTTGATTGTTTACTCTCAATAGATGTCTTCTGGCATGTCAATATGATTTGAAAGACTGAAATTTCTCACAAAATTCAAGTCTTTGTCTCTCTCGCTCTCATGGCATGTGATTTGAATAAATGAAGAGACTCCAAATCACCTCTTGTATATCTGAAACTTAATGTCTGATTAAACATGATTTTTTCACTCTCTTTTTTATTTCTCTCTTTTATTAAAAATATAGTTCATAAGATTTTAAATAAATTCTTGGATTACATTCTTACTTATGCATGGGGAAATGAACCTTTATAATATTCTTTGTAGTGTCATTAAGATCTTGTGGCTGTTGTGTAGACTGTGCAATTTCTTTTTTCAGGAATCCGCTTCCTGCCTTAAATAAAATCAACTTTTTTCTGCTTTTCTTTTGCTATTGGCTTATGAAATTTCTTGTTTCTTTATGTGTCTTTATTTGGTGGGGGATGCTTAGGTGAGGTTTAAGATCTTTAAGGAGTGTTTGCCCCTTCCTGAGAAAGCTTTTAAACATGCTATTAAAGATAATTACCATGGTTCCAAGTTCAGACAAGAGTTGACTAGCAAACAGGTAAATTCTGATTTATAATCTTTTGCTCTTCATTTATTTATGATTGGAAAGTATTGCTATCCCATGTAGTTTAATTGAAACATGTTTGTCTGTTTGGTAATTTGCTGGTACATTCTAATGTAGGTGAGAACTTTAATTTCCTTGTTCCGCCCCCTTACATCAGCTACAGCTGCCACCACTCTATCCAATGCGGTCACGCCACATACATTCCCAGCTCAGCTACCAGCATGGCTGCCTCTTCCAAGTGGCACACAGTTCCCTGGGGTGCATGGCGGTGCCTTGCCGGTCCCTGTTTTTCGATCAGAACAGGTGATCTCACGCCTACCATATGACCAACATGCACCAGATACATCTCTTGAGCGTTTGTTACCTCCTATGGAGGTTCGACATGTTCAGCAGGATGCTTTTCCTCATTGTAGTGAACCATATTATTTGACAGAAGCACATCAGCCTTACTTGTCTGACAAACCTTCCTTGTCTGTTCAGGATTCTTATGGAAGGTACCTATATTTTTTTTAATTTTTTCTGGCTTTTTCTCTGTGCCATTGTTTTTTCTTAATATTTTTTATCTTCAAGAAGTTGCTCTTGGTTTTAAACAAGTATTTGATGTATGATGAAACTTCTATGTGATAATTGTGAACTAATGTAATTCCTTCATAAACCAACATTATCCTATGATTATGGTTAATAATTTCTTATAAGCAATCTTCTTGACATTTTGCACTAATAGAGTCAGCTGTGCCCCGCCTCCATCATAATGGTTTCTGTTATTATCAATTTTCTATTACAAAACTTAAAGAAAAAAAGTGAAATCCTTGCATTTTCACTTAGTTGTGAACCTGGCATGCCTTTGAACTTTGAAATCATGGAAATAGGCCTCAAAGGAGATTTAGTATTTTATTGTTTTACTGATTTTCCAAAGGATTTTTTGCACGCATTTTAGTGTACATAGAACTTATTGTAGCATGCATGCTCTATATTAGGAAATGCTTCTTGAAATTTAAGTGATTATGTTTGAAGATGTTGTTGCAACTTGCTAATGCTTCCTCTTTTGGCTCTTTCAAAAGATGCCAATCTTTATTTCATTACTTGTTTGTTTATAGATAATGTTAGAGGTGAAGTGAAGTTGGTTTTTCTTATTCAATTTGATTCCATTCATATGTGTCATGGTGTGAACGGGATGCCGTCTGGTGGTTTTAAGTGCATATCATGTAACCTGAGCTTGTTGAGTCAATTGAATGATGACTTTGCTTAGATTAAGTTGTTTGGTCTTCATGCCCCCAATATTTCCATTTGAGCTTCAAAATGATTTTTCATTCACAATTCTAGCATTGCCTTTATTATTACAGGTGTGGTCAAATCCCGGACCTTATTCAAAGGGTTCAAATTGCCGGATATGGAGGTGAGTATCAGACATTACAATTGACAAGGAAGAGAGAAATTGTTCAGTGTCCGGAAAATGTGGTTGATTACTATAGTCAAAACCTGCCTCCAGCTTCAGCTTCGCATGTTTCGTTACAAACACGTCTGCAAGGAGAGTTAACGTCTTACCAATCCCATTATCCTGTAACATCTAACGAGGATCTTCGCCAGGCTTATGCTGACCCTCTTCAAAGGCCTGCGTCCGGCAGATCTAGCTTGGTTAAAGCAAATGTGTCAACACATCCACCACGAGAATTATTATCATCTTACCAGCCTGAAGATCTAGACCATACATATGCTGATCCTCTTCAAAGACCTCTATCTGGCAGATCTAGCTTGGTTGAGGCAAATTTGCCGACGCATCCACAAGGAGAATTTTTTTCATATTACCAGCCTCATTAACCATTGACATTCAATGAGGATCTATGCTGGACTTATGCCGATCCTCTTCAAAGGCCGGTGCCTGGAAGCGCTGGCTTAGTTGAGGCAAGTTTTTCAGTCTCTTCCCGTTTTTCTTTTGTGGGAAGAGCTTCAAGTTATCGCTGATGGGGATCGGTAATGAAAGATTTGAATGGCTGGTTAGTCTTCTTCTGTTTAAATTTTCTAATTATGATCATAGCTACCTGTAATTTTGTAACTATAATAGCTTAGATTAAGTTGTTGGAGTGCTGACATAATATTATATTTTTATGATCGTACTCTTTTAGTTATTGGAGTTCTGGCATCGTAAAAAGTTTAACAAAATGAAGGTCGCATTTCCTGTATGTGCGAGAACTCACAGCTAACCTCCAATTTACATGGTTTTCATTTAATTGAGCATCTCTTCTTGAAATTATCCGTCAAACTACCATCAAAACATCAAACGGTAAACGTATAAAATCACATAATCATTATTATTGTTTAAATTCATATGGTTTAGTAACATAGATTTGTTAATGTTAAGATCAAGTGAAAGATTAAATTATCATTTAGACAAAAAAATAATAAATTGGGATCTCATAAAATGATAGATAAGTCAATTGCATCACTGTATAAAAAAAAAATGTTTATTTTTCATCCTTTAACCATTAATTCATCAATGAAGAACATTAAAATTAGGATTTGAAACCAATGTTTTAAAACTTGTCCCAGCTTGGCCGATTGAACCGGTTGAATCGGGATTTGAGGCCTTCATTGGGCTGGGTTAACAATTTTCTTATTCATCTGAAACCCTTGAAATTGGGAAGGTGATCGATGAACAATTGAAAGCTACGATGTTGAGACTGTTGAAGAGAGAGGGTTGGTGAGTGCAATGGTGGCGATAAATGTGATTTTTAGTGAGTGAATCGACCGGAAATCGCAAAACTAAATCGACGACAATAGTCAGATATCAAGGGAGGGGTGATATGGGTTTTGGTCAGGAGGCTGAGAGAAGTGTTTTCGTGGTGATAAGAAGTGTTGTTGTCGTCGAAAACATGCAAGATTTCAAACCTATAGGGACTTATATGTAATTTTAGGGGTATATTTATTATATTTCAAACTTTTAGACATCGATTTGACTTGTCAGTCAAACCGGTTAAATCGGTCAATCCAAGACCTGATCACTTTACTGGATCTCACCTCGGGTTGGTTATTAAAACACTGTTTGAAACAACAGGATTTATAAAAGCTGTTTGTAAAAGTAAGAGGACAACAGTGTGGGTTAAAGTTTTTTGATCTTTTTAAGGTAATTTTAATTATGAGATAATTACTCTAAACCCCCTAAGGTATATCTTAAATGTATCTACCCTCTGGTTCTTGATATTGCTGTCTAGGGGTTAAAACATCTACCTCTCATTTGTATCCCAGTTAATTTATTAAACATTGATATAAATGCATTTTAAAAAAACAAATGCATAGTAACATATATGTATATGTATATATTAATAATAAAAATTACGTATTACACATTTGAAAATCAAAATTATATAAAAATGATGAATTTGTAGTTTATAATGTGTTTATATAATTTGAATTTGTAATATGTAATATATTTATTTTATTTCGTATTGTTTGAGTAACAAATTTTTCGCTTTCTCTAAAAGGGGTATTTTTGTCATTTTATTATAAATTTAACAGTCAACTAAACTTTTATAAAGTTAAAAGATTAAACAGTAGTATTTTGCACGAGAAGGACAAAAATTGTATTTGAAACTATTGTCCTTAATAGTAAACTTAAACCACAAGGGCTAAACATAAGAAGATTACTGCTTTCTTCCCCAATTATTCTTAAAAACAAATAAATTCAGAAAAAATAAAATAAAATAACAAAAGAAGGCCCTCCTTGTGAAAGAAAAATAGAGGAAAATATTGAAGACTTAGAGAGGTGAAAAGAATCACTTTTATTCATTAGCTGAAATATAGTCTTAAATAGGAATTATAAACCCTAGTTAGTAAAAACGCGTATTATAGGCGAATTATACGGACAGCCGTATAATTCGCGTATAAAACGCGCGTATACGTATTTTATAAAATCTGTCGTATAATTCGCGTATAATAAAGTTTCCCGTATAATTCGCGTATAATTCGCGAATTATTCGCGAATTATTCACGAATTTTTGAAAAAAAAAAACAAAATCTCACACCCCCAAAACGACGTCGTTTTGGTGGGTTTATACAAAAAATAAAAATTGATCTGGTTCAGTCCTCCTTCTTCAGTTCTTCGACAGTCAGCAATGCGCCCCAAACAACCATCAAATTCACTTTGAAAATGAACAAATCCATGAAAACATTAAACTAACAGTGAGAGAGGGAAAACAAGAATGAAGAGAAAGAAGAAAAGAAATTAGAGGAGGTGGCACTGCAAGAGTTCGTAGTGCTTTCGAAAGATGATGAAGGTGGGGCGCAAGGGTTGTTAGATTTTGGGGATGAGGGAAGGTGCGTAACCCCTTTAGTTTAGACTGAAATCTTTGTCTTTTTGAGCGGCAAAGCGAAGAGCAAGCAAGGGAACAAATAGTACTGGTAAGTTTGAAAGCCTGAAAGAATATTGGGGGTGGAGGATTTTGTGGCGGTGGGGTGTGGGAGAAGGATAAAACGGGCTGGGGGAAATATTGGGGTTGGAGGATTTTGACTTTGTGGCGGTAGGGTGTGGGAGAAGGATAAAAGGGCTGGGGCAATTTTATTTTATTTTTTATATTTTTATTTTTAAATTTGATTTTTTTTCTTAATTATTAAAAATGGTTATTTATTAATTTATACATTTTATTTTATTTTATTTTTATAAAACTTAACTTTTCTTTTATTTAATAACCTGATTTTTAATAAAAATATAATTTTTAATAGAAATTGAAGATAGGAGTTTAAGTGACTAATTTCCAAGTTAATGAAGGTAATTACCATCTATTTGTATTTTAAGACGGTAAGTAATATTAACTTTATAATAAAATTTATGCAGACTAGACTGACAAGAATATCTTTTAATCATTAAAATTAACGTAAGAATTTTAATAATGGGTGGGAAAATGTAGATTCGCCAAACTTTGGGTTGAGAAAATGTCATTCAGCCTATTAAAATATGTGACTCTCTATTATTTAATTGTAAAATAAAAATTATTTCTTATATTCAAATAAATAAATATACTATATAATCCAATTATAACCAATAAATAAATATACTTCAAAATAGTTTGATTATAGTACTAGATTAATTTTAACCCTCTTATCCCAAGGCCTGAAAAACAGAAGAGGGCTCATCACTCATCAGTAGTGTTAAAATTATCACATCTCATAACCCAATTCTGTTATGACTTATGTGTTTAATTTGATACTATAGTTGAATCTTAGCTAAATATTGTGTTTGAGTCTGGAGACTATAATTTGAATATCAGTTATATATTGTGTATTTGTGTTATTGGTTAATTGAATACTTTGCATTTGAAATGTCATGTTGATTTTAACCAGGTAGTCCATAAAAGTGTTAAAACTAAGATTGATATTGCCGTATTTTTCAAAACGTATTATTGACAATACACCGTATTAAACCCGTACCGTATTTTTTCCGTATCCGAATTTTATGACCGAATTTTTATAAACGTATTTTTTATCGTTTACCGTATTATACCCGTATAATTCCCGTACCGTTTTTTTGCCGTACCCGTATTTACTAACTAGGTTGTAAACAACGTGGTGTGCGTTTGTTTCAGTAATTTTGCACTATCTTATCCCTATCCTATTCAAAATATACATTTGTTTCCCTATTCTGAAAATTTCTTTATATTTTATTCAATTTTTTTAAACCTCTTAGGTTTGTTAATTTAACTAAACATCCAAAAAAGTTTAGAAATTAACAAAAACACCCCGACCCACCCAAATTTGCCAAATTCTGGCCACCACCATCAGAATATGGCCGGAATATGGTATAATGGCGCACTACCGGCTGGATCTAGCCGATAGTGCGCCGATCTAGCCTTTTTCGGCCAGATCTTTGGTCGTTGACGTCCAAACACAGCCAAATCTGGTCATCAACAGCCAGATCTAGTTGTAGATCTGGCCTTTTCCGGCCAGATCCACTGTGGATCTGGCCGAAAAAGGCTATATTGGGTCACGACCGGCCATATCCGGCCAATCGTGCCTCGATACGGCGACTTTAACCATCCTCTGGCGGTGGTGACCGGCTGTCGATATTTAATGGGTGGGTAGGGATTTTTTTGTTAATTTTCAATGTCTTATTATAAGGGTGTTTAGTAAATTAACAAACCTAGGGGGTGTTTTCGTTAATTTTTAAATCCTACCTCGTAATAACCACCCAACTCTTACTTTTTCAAAAATCATATCCAAAATAATAAAACAAACGTACTTGTGCATATCAGAAAAATAGGACCATTAAGTCCATGAATAACAAACTCTTCTACTGCTGAAATACTCCTAAAGAATAGGTAATCAACTAAACAACTTCCTGTAGAATAGGACATCAGCTATTTATTAAAAACAAACTTTAACACCCCCCTTTAAACTGGATGTCTTCAGACATTAGTTTAGAAAACAAATATCTGCTCCATCACTTCTGCATCACACGCTTCCTTCATTGAATAGACTCCAAGCAAATTCTGAAGCTTTTTAAAGACTGCTTGCTTAAGAGGCTTTGTCATAATATCTGCAATTTAGTTTTCACTTCTGCAGTAAACCACATCAATTACCTCATCTTTGCAGAGATCACGTAGAAAATGATACCGTACATCTATATGCTTGCTTCTACCATGAAAAACAGGATTTTTTGAGAGTTTGATTGCAAAAATGTTATCACAATAAACTGTTGTTGGACCTTTTTGATCATAACCCAATACTTCAAGTAATCTTCTTAGTCAAATTGCTTGATATGCACAAGATGTTGCAACAACGAATTTAGCTTCAGTTGTGGACAAAGTCACGATTGATTGTTTTTTAGA